AAGCGGTTTTAATACACTCGTGCAGTGCGGCCCTAAGTAAAGGCACAGATGTGAAATATTCAGTACATATTGCTAATAAACTAGAATTGTGATGAAAGAATTTAACGATACCGCGACTTTTATTATGATTGATCAATGCAAATAGAGGGAGTGTGAAAATGCAAAACCCCTTGCATACGTATACGTATCCAAATGTACATATGTATGTGCTCACGTTGTTTTAAAATTAGTTGACGTATGCCACGCATGTACATATGTATGTAGTAAATGTTTATACTGCAGTTGCTTACTTATAAATTCAATTATACACTATATATTGTAGCAATATGAATGAATGCGTAGTTCCCGTTAATGTAGTGAATCTGCCACGGTCATTCTTCATCAACTGTGGTGTATCGAAAGATATTTGATATTTGATTAGCTCGGCTAACACATAAAAACAAATTAACAGACCCTAGCGTGACGTGGGCAGCAAAATGTGTTAATATAAAAAAATGTGTTAATATAAGAAAACTATATTTTTCAATTATAAAATTGTAATTGTAAGTTTTGTAATTCAATTGTATGCTACACTACTGTGGGCAGAAAATAGTAAGACTTTTTAATTTAAATATTACGCGAAACCCCATTTGTCGAAATTTTTTTTCTTGGTTGGTATGATTATCTGTGCCAAATGTCACTTCAAAATAATCATTAGTTTTTAGTTTACGCTTGTCTTTCTGAAGTACATAAAATGCATTCGGCGATTTTTACGACGAGTGAAATAATGTAACAAAGAAGTTCCATTACATTTTTTTCATGCGGATCCAAATTTCTAGTGCTGAAAGGTTTAGAATGTTGGAAGAAACCTTTGGTGATAATTGTTCGTCTCGAGTAAGAGTTTTTGATTGGTACAAATTATTCAAAGAGGGTCGAGAAAATGCTGACGACGAATCACGACCAGGACTGCCATCAAGTTCAGTTGTAGATCAACACGTCAATAAAATAAAGAATTGGGTGCTTGAAAACCGACGAAAAACAACCAGATATCTTACTGCCATCGTGGAAATATCAGAAGGATCTGTAAAAACTAAAAAAAAAAAAGCGAAAGCGTTATTGGTTTCGAAATCACTCAATTTTTTCGAAAAACAGCGTCGCGTTAACATCTGTAAGACAATGCTTTCCTTTCTTTACTTTCGGACCAGAAACAGACGATCTCGACTGGCCGAATATCGTGGCAAAGGCAAGCCGAAGCCGAAAAACCACGTCAAAGCAGGTCAAAAATTCCGGTAGTATTGAAAGTTTTCTTTGATTATCGCGGTTTTTGCACTCCGATTTCTTTCTGATCGGCCAAACTGTCAACAAGGTATACCTTTTGGTTTTATGCGTCGTATGCGTGAAGCTATGTATTCGCAAAAACTCTTTGTATTTGCTTCGAGATAATACACCGTCGCTTATTGCATTGATTTTTCGTGAGTTTTTCGTCAACTTTTCAACCAATATCGTATTTTCCTAATTTAGCTCCGTGTGACTTCACACTATTCAGCAAACTCAAACAACCGCTGCGAGACACCCGTTTCGAGTCAAGTGAAGACATTAGTCATAGACATAGATTTTGAAAAATAAATTAAGAGTTTTAAAATTATGAAGAAAGTCTTATATGTTTTTCTCTTTAGGATAGGAAGACCACAGTGACAAATTCAAAAGTACATCTACAGCTTTATATAATATTTACTATTTTCCTGTCACTCATGGTGAAAATTGCACTACCTGTCAAAACAAATGATTTTTAGAATGATGAAATAAGTTATTTTCCTATAATTAAATATATTTTCAAGACAAGAAAAAATCGGTAACTTCGATAGCATTGAAGCTATAATACACTTCACAAATCTTGATTCTGATTTCTCAGTTTGTATTGCAGTTACACGGGCTCACAAAATTTTTATTTCGATTTCAAATCAATCACAATTTTCGGACGTTCATAAAAATTTCAAAACTTGTTGGCATTTTGTATTGCACTGACAATCAATTTTTGTGCATTTTTTTTATTTTATTTTCACTGTGTAATAAATTAGTTTAAAAGTTTAGTGCAAACAAAAATACGTTTTTAAAAAATTGTTTGAGAATATGGTAAAAATCATTACCGTACGTATGTATATGTGCATATGTATATGTTATAGTTATGTATATAATATATTTATTATTTGTTTTAGTAAATAACCCTTGTCAAATTTCGTGGGGGAAATCTCACCAAACAACAACTTCTTGGGGAGAAAAAAACATGTTTAAAGTTTCAGATCGATATCTTCGAAACTGAAGGACTAGGGCGCGTATATGCAGACTGAATTTCATTACAGCGAATTAAAATCAACTGATAGACATAGATGGAAAGAATCAACCAGAAGATCGGAAATCTGTATATGAGGGCTATTAAGCGTCTGGTACAATATCATTCATACGCAGTGCTAAACCGCATTATTTTTGAAACGTTTATCTCTTTAACTTCAATAAAATATCACACATAACGGGCTTTTCAAAAGGGACAGCAAACGACGTATTTTTCCCCGCTCTTTTGGCATTTCTTTTCAATAAGGTTTACTATTTCACCATGGGAAGATATACAATCCAACAACGAGTTGAAATTAATAAAATTTACAACGTACGTTACGTCCAATTTATTGTCGTCAAGAACTGAAGCCACTTGACTACCAGAATCGTCGTATGTTCCTGAATTGTGCTGAGCAACAACTTGAAAATGGTCCGGATTTTCATCGAATAGTCATCTTCAACGATGAGGTTCATCTTCGTTAATAAGCAAAATACCTGCTCCATTAGTTAATGGTAATCCATCCCGAAAAAATTACTGTTTGTAGCGGTTTATGGGCCGGCGACGTCATTGGGTCGTACTTCTTCCGTGATGACCAAAACCGATAAAATAAATAAACCAACCATTTTTTCTAACAATCCTTATGCCGAATATGTCGGTCATTGTGTGAGTTAAATATTTATAAATTATCCTTACTTGTTGATGTATCGAACTTTTAGTTTTTAATAAAACCCTTGAATAAGCAGTGGGTGATGTTATCTTTCCGTTTCCATTTTTATTTAATGAAACGATTTGTTCCGTATAAATTTGGATGATATAGCTTAAATGGTTTGTTCTTTATGCAATTTTTTGGCTGTAATTAAAAAAAAAAAATTAAAACCTTTGATTCTGCTTGTGGATTATTTTTATTTGGCTGTGTGCCGTTGCACCGTCCTGTTGGAACCACATGTTTTCCAATCCCAATTCATCAAGTTGGAGCAAAAATAACTCGTTGATCTTTGCTCTGTAGCGCTCACCATTTACAGTAACCGTTTAGCCCGCAACGTCTTCGAAGAAAAAAAGGTCCGATGACTCCTCCAGCTCAAACAGCACACCATACAGTGCCTTTGAGCGGGTGTAATGGCTCTTCGTGGGTTACACGCGAATTTTCAGTGCCCCAGAAGTGTGAATTTAGCTTATTTACATACCCGCTAAGATGGAAATGGGCCTCATCACTCATGATTATTTTTGCTGAAAAATCATCTTCCTTTTGTTGGTGATTAAGGTGGGCTGAGCGTATGATAGACGCGATTGGCGGTCAGCAGCTAACAGTTGATGCATCGTCTGGACTTTGTACGGAAACATCTTCAAATCTTTTACCAAAATTCGCTGTAAACACCGTCTACTGATACCCATTTGCGTGGCACGTCTTCTGGTCGATGTCGACGGCGCTTCGATATGTCATGGCAACCGGCAACAGCAGCAATATTCTCTGCAGAACAGTTACTCCGGGGTCTGCCACGCTTGGCAGCATGTCGTGTTGTACCAGTCACCCAGGTTAATAAGTACATTTAGTTATTATAGAGCGGAGCCACGTCCACTTTTAAAAATTTCGAAGCAAAGTTCCCCTCTCGAATACAACTCGTTTTATTAAAAAACAGTTAATAGTATCTTAATTTGCGGATTAGTTATGACAATTTATAGGATATCGATTAATGGCGTTTTGTGGGCATGGCAGTGACCCGATTACAGCCATCTGTATGATATATGTCAACTAAGTTTTATCAGATTTCCAGGCTTGCAGTGAAGGAAAGCGCAAAAGAGATAGTTGGAGAAATTGACTTAGGAGTAGGTGTGCGACGCGTACAACAAATTTAAAAAAAAAATACTTAACTCTCTCCTACGAAAAAAATTTTTCCAAACCAGCACTGCTACCTCGGAATAAAATGGCTAGATTACGGTTTGCTGAAAAATATATTTGTTGGGATGAAGAATGGAAAACTGTAATATTTTCGGATAAGAAGAAATTTAATTTGGCTGCGCGGATGGTGCAATTAAGTATTGGCGCAAGAAAAGCACTTCCAAGCAAAAACGTCAACGCCGAAACTTTGGAGGTGGTTCCCTAATTCTTTGGGCGGGAATAAGTTACTGAGTAACCATACCTATCTGCTTCATTAGCACCAAGATGGACTCCGATTATTATATCCAGCTTCTAGATGATGTCTTAATTTCGTTTGGAGAAGATATATCTGATTCAGAATATATTTTTCAGCAGGACAACGCAGCAATCTATCGTTCAAGGAAGACAAAAGAATTCCTATTATCCCGTGGAATTCAACTCAATTGCGAATCTCTTGTCACTGCTAGCGAGTAAGGATTTCAGTCATGGACGTCAATTTAAGAACATTAAAGAGCTCAAAGTAAAAATTCAACAAGAATGGAGGAGCATTGAGCCATCGTACATTCATTCTCTCATTAACTCAATGATAAAGCGTTTGGAAGAAGTTCTGAACAATAACGAAGGACATACTTCTTATTAAATTAATAAATATTTACCTAAGAAACTAAAATACTCTTGTGCCTTTATAATTATTTCGCACTAGGTTTGGTTTTTTTTTTTTTTAAATTTTTCCTCCTTGAAGCTCAAAGGGGTAAAAATTTAATTTTTGTTCATTTGTTTTTAAATCGTTCTAAAATACATGAATATAATTTATAAATAAAATCACAAAATATTAGAAAGTTCCTTTTCTAAGAAATCTTTTTGTAGTGCCTTTATACTTATTTCGCAGGGTGTATGTTCTTTTAGTAATTTTTGGAATTCAAAATCCGATGCATTCGTTTCTTTGTATTGCCTTCTCGTTACGTTTGTAGAACACAAAATTTGCTTTCAGATCCGGGTTTGATGACTGTAAGTTCAAATTATGGTAGTAAAAATTTCTAAAATATTATTTAAATGTCTTATGCTTACCTCTTTAGCATGCAGGAACAAACACATTCGCAAACAATTCACATCTTTTCTGAGGTGGCTTTCCGGTTCATTTGCAATTTTCAAATCGTCTGAAAATAAATTTAAGTTATCTTATAAAATATTCTAGTTACTCACAAGTGCTTTAAAACCTACTTAAATTTGTACACGTCAGATCTAAGCAAGTTTGTGTTAAACGCCCCATCTCCTTAAACATGTCCAACGGATCAGAACAAAATGTTTGATTTATATTAAAAATAATAAAAAGATGAAACAGCACGAAATACATGAAAACCAAATTTTTTTCCAACTTTCAATGATTGTAAATCTGAACAAAAAAAAATATATATAGCGACCACTGTAAGTACTATTAAATTGTTTATCCTAAACTAATAATGCCTTCCTTTGCAAAAGTTTTAGAAAATAAATGTTGTCAGTGCTTTCGCTAGTTAGTTCTTGTTGGAAGCTCCGATATTTTACAAACATCAAATGAAATTAATTTAATAAAATTCATCTATGTTTTAAAGTTGTGTATAAAAATACGGTATCTAAAGCAATTTGGAACGGTAATTAAAACAATTTACCTTGAATATCAGCGTAACCTACGTATAAGAGACCTTTAAGTGCAATGCTAATGAAGAAAACTGAGGTAAAAAAGCTTGAAGTCTTCTTTGTTTTGTTAAACCATAAACTTGTCTTACTGACCAATGAATGTCAGGATTATACTTAAAAACATAACGTGTTGAGCGTGAATCAGCTTTTCCTTTCATTGTTAAATGCATTTTTCCGAGAAGGAAGAAGGCGCACGGTGCCATATCAGGTGAATACGGCGAGTGGTTAATGGTTGAAATGTGATTTTTGATAAAATAATCGGTCACAAGGTGTCCTTCGAATGTTGGATTCTGAGCAATTTTTGGTGGTCAGTCAATTTGTGCGGAACAAACCATGCACACACATTTTGTAAACCCAAATGTTCGATCAAAATGCGATAAATCGATGCTTTGAAGATGTTCAATTCCATTTCCAGGAATTTCAACGATGATTTCAGTTGATTTTTTAAGAGTTCACTCACAGTTTCGACGGATTTTGATTGGCTCACATGTTGATCATCATTTATGTCCTCGCCTAAAAGTTTTACCAATTAAAAAAAAAAAATTATATTGGCTCTTTGTTCGAAGCTCATTTTCGTACCGGTGACACAAACATACTGCCACTTAAAACGCAATAACTTCACTTCCAATCAATGCAATGTCATGAAATTGAACCATATAGATGGCGTCACCAGGGGCGAAAGATTCAAAAAGTCCTGTTTACTTTGGAACGCACCTTGTACAATGTAAGCGTAGTCTCGGGCATAAAATTTAATATCTCTAGCGTATTTATTTATTGATCTTTATCGGAACCCTTATATGGGTAGTTTGGGGTGTCGTTAAGGATGCTTAAAGCATTTGGCCTAACAAATTTAGTTTTCTATCTTAAGTGGTCTGGGAGATATGTACATACATTAAACTTTAAAGAGTCCAAATTACATAACTGTAATGTGCCTTAATTTTGAGCTTAGTTATGAAACTTAATAAATTTTCGTTCAATCATTTTGTAAGCGAGGTATTGGTCAGATTACGTTCATCTACGAATTCGTCTTCCCGATTCGACCAATACTCATTACGATATCTCAATTTTTTACTCAAGTTACAGATTGACGGACGATAGAATCCGGATCATCCTCAAAGTTTTTATATATGTGTCTATCTCGATTAATTTTAGGTGATACAAACAACTCTTAGGTGAACAAAACTGTTATTCTCTGTAGCAACATGTTGCGAAAGAATTCAACACTCATTATTCGACGATAATTATTTAAAATTCAGCGACATATGCGATTTATCTGTACAGTTAGCCGAAAATTCTATATTTAAAATATTCTGTAGATGTTCAAAACTTCCGTCAAAAGACAGAAATTTACAATATAGGGGATATAAAATCTAGACCTTGGTCTTATATATTTTTCCCAGTACTACATATTACTAACAGAAGCTGAGTTTTCTTAAGGTACCTCACATCAACAATATAAAAGGAGTAAAGTCAACTGGATGTTTGAAAATTCTGATATGAATATGCACAGAGATACACCGTTATGACAAAAACATGTTCACATAATTTAATTAAGAAAACTCATATATTTGTCGTCAGCCGGAAGTTCGAAAATCTTTATATTATGCACTCACCATATGACGGTCTTCATTAGCTCCCCACCTCGTTGGTAATACCGGTGAGCAAACACTAAACTGATTATACTATGTATGAATAGACACTATAAACAAATTGTAATAAAAAATAACGGCACTTTGGACTGCGAATCGCTGCAAGTGTTGTTACCTTTCTAACAGAATTTATGGGAAGGCTAAGTACATATGTATATATTTGTACTCATGATATTAGTGTTGTGTGACGGTTTACATACATGGTACTTACCCATATCACTAAGTTTTACTTCTGAATGTCACCACTCTAATCGAAAAATTCTCTAATCGAAATTCTTTTAACTTCGGAAGGAAAAATTCAAACTGCACGGAAATTATTATACAAGTTCCGTTCATATTCAGCTCGAAACAATATTATGATTAAGAAAACAAGTTTTTTGAATTTATGTAATATATACTTACATATCATACATACATACATGTAGTACTAACAGACGGTATAAAGTTGACTAGGAAATGAAATATAACCTACATATATTCAGGTAAGAGTATGATGCGGCTGTGAGGAAAGATTTGTACCTATTTTTGTATGTTTGTAATGAATAGGCTCAAAAAGTACTGGGTCAATTTAAAAAGTTCTTTCACCAATAGAATGCTACATTCTTTCAATTTGACATAGGCTACATTAGATTTTGAAGAAAATTAGGGATCCTTGGTAAAATTTGAACAATGTAACCGAAAGTGTAGAAAAATGAGTCTTAAAATGTCTTTAGTCGAATGCGCTGCCGAAACTATTAGCGATAGAACAAAATAATGTACAACAATACTGAAGAACATCGTAATGTCTACAAAAAAACTCCGCGGTAGCATACATACATATGTCCAACAATTGTAGTTATGTCACTCCAACAACTTTTTTCATTTTAAACATTAATGAAAATGCTAACCAAATTCAAACCATGCCATTTATGTGTTTATATTAATCCTTGTCCAAATAAATTATTTCATGGTCAAGACCATTTAATTACCTATAAAATAATTTTTATTTTAAATAAATTAATATAAAATAAATTATATTTATTTCGACTATTAAAAAGTGAAGAAGAAAATTGATGACCTTCATGAAATATGCATATTCACATTATTTCGTTATCATTTCCATATTTGTACCAATAGAATGATAATAACAAGTGTCGCACGCTTCTTTCGCATCTCCGATGTCACGGTCAACCAATGGCCGAAACTTGCGTTTTGACAAAGAGTCAAGTGCTGAACACATTGAGCACGACAGACTGCAAGCGCCATCTGTCAAATATTATATTAAAATACACACGTTCTTAGGGACACAGTTATGTAGTTGTGCTGCTGCCTCAATACCTGAATACCCTAAGAACGTGTGTATTCTAATATCTGTCGCGCTCATTGGTTCAGCACTTGTATGATGATAGAAAATCCAAGCTGTGCCGAAAAAAATAAACGAATGGCCGCCTATTGACCGCTTCCCTTGCCACTGTAACAGCTTCGCCCACAAACTAGCGTAAATATGTATGCATATGTATGAGCTTGCGTACATATCGCCGCAGATTTTTGCGAGTCAGATATTTTAGAATTGACAAATATTGTAAATCGACAACAGCTATGTTGCCACTTTTCTCATTTCCTTCTTAGAACAAACACCRGAAGATGTTCAATTTATGATTTTTAGCTTTTGCCATCGTCGCGAAAAGACGCTTGTTGACAAAGATATGCACGGGGAGATGTTACGGCGTCTGTTTTTATGAATGAAGCCAGGTCGCTTGTAGAATTTGCGCCTGCGCTTATGAATGAAATTGTTTTTGTTGTAAAATTTACTACATTTGGGCTTCGCCAATTCGGCTGCCAAATTGACTTTTGATGCTTCTGCTATTTGAGCAATTGTTTTTTTGTTGATGACATATTCACATGTGTACGCATATGTATGTATGCATGCTTGTGCATTATTTGTTCGGAAGTGTATACAAATATATGTATGTATGTATGTACATATAAGTATATATGAATGTATGAACAAGCAGATTAATGCGCTCACATGTGTATACATATGAGCAAATAATAAGATTAATATGATAGCCGATATATGTATGTATGTATGTACATATAAGTATATATGAATGTATGAACAAGCAGATTAATGCGCTCACATGTGTATACATATGAGCAAATAATAAGATTAATATGATAGCCGATATATGTATGTATGTATGTATTTATTATTGTTGTGATAAATTCAATTTCTATTACTACTATTAGTATAGTATATTATGTAAAAATCAAATAAAATTATTAAATATTCATTTCCAAATTTACTGTAAATACATAGTACTATGCTATGCATGCATTCATACAAATTATACTCATATCATAATTATTTTTACGTGCCAATATGGAAATGCCGACGGCAAAGCGCAAAACTATACATATTTGCATACAAGCAATTACAATTTGAAAGCAATCAATTCACGAAAGATGAACTCATCACATTGTTGACTTAAACTGGAAGATTCAAAGGCAAATTCCGGGAGATTTGCGCTCATACAAATCGATCGCTCGTCTTAACAACGAAGACGACGTCGTGAATTATCCAGTGGAATTTCTAAATTCTTTGGAGAGGCTTGGTATGCCACCGCATTATTTGCGTTTCAAAGTTGAATCTGTCGTTATTATGTTTCGCAATCTGCTTGCGCCGAAACTGTGTAATTGAAGCTGACTGATTGTGACGCACCTTTCGAATACAAGAGGCAGAATGCTGGATTCAACGAATTCCTTTGAGTTTTAACGATTTGCCATTTTAGTTCAAACGTATTCCGTTTCCAGTAAACATTGCATTTGAGATGACAATCAACAGGACACAAGGATGGTCGAATAGTGTGTGGCATAAATTTGGAAATGCTATGTTTTTCACACGGCAGTTATAAGTGGCGTGCTCACGAAATGGAAAACCATCTTTTCTGTACACCGGAACAGAAACCAAAAAATGTAGTTTAACAAGCTGCGTTACATTGAAAAAAATTAAATGATAAATTTAACTTTCTTTTCATTTCAAATCACATAATTTCACGCAGGACAACTTCTGCGGGGTCAGCTATATTATATAAGTCAATATGTGTGATATTTTAATAAAGTTAAGTAGACGTGTTTTTTTAAACGCATTACTGCTTAGCATTAAATATGATTGAAATCCTTTAGTCCATTCTGAGTTAGCATAAGGTTTTGCTCACACTTGCCCACATTTTTACGAATTTAATGTTAGGCCGCTTCTGAACTTAGCCCTTTATTATTTGTTTTATTCGAGATGTTTAGAATTAGCAATATAATTTGTAATTAAGTTAAAATATTTGATAATATATGATATTGTTTTAAAACATATTTGTTGATTTTTAATTCTAACAATCTCTTCATTTACTGTGTGTTTCAGATCAAATCTTAAATGAGTTAAACCTTGGATAGGTAAATACTTTCGCTTGTTGCTTTCTAATAAAAATACAAGAGCTTTAACGGGTTGCAGCGAAATAACTGTACATATTGTAAAATGCAAAATGCCACCAACTCAGCAACAGGCATTATTGTTGCTAAATATTTCGAACGGCATGTATTCGGCTCCAAAGAATTATGGCTTAAACAAAAGTACGGAAACTTCATTAACGAGTGTTTCGAACACAATAGGTCCACAATTAAGCTCCACTGTAACAACAACTACCACGTTCGTAAGTGCCTCAACAATTAACAACAGCCAATTGGGGACGGTCGATGGGTGTAGCAGCACTGCAGTTACTGAAAAGTTCTACTGGAGCCACTTTGGAATACAGCTGGCAGTGCCCGAATGGGAAGCTATCCTTACTACCATAGTGCTCTCCGTTATAATAGTACTAACTGTAATTGGGAATGTACTAGTCATTTTAAGTGTATTCACCTACAAGCCGCTACGAATAGTCCAAAACTTTTTTATTGTTTCACTGGCCGTAGCCGATCTAACGGTCGCATTACTCGTATTACCATTCAACGTAGCGTACTCGATACTTGGACGTTGGGAATTTGGTATACACGTTTGTAAGATGTGGCTAACTTGTGATGTTTTATGCTGTACGTCGTCAATACTCAATTTGTGCGCAATCGCCCTCGATCGCTACTGGGCCATAACGGATCCCATTAATTATGCTCAAAAGCGTACAGTCGGTCGTGTTCTGCTATTAATAGCCGGTGTTTGGATATTGTCATTAGTAATAAGTTCACCACCGCTAGTAGGATGGAATGACTGGCCGGATGAATTTACAAGTGCCACACCGTGTGAATTAACCTCTAATCGAGGTTATGTGATATACTCTTCATTGGGATCGTTTTTCATTCCCTTAGCAATAATGACTATCGTATACATCGAAATCTATATTGCAACCAGACGACGACTACGTGAACGGGCCAAAGCTTCGAAAATTAATACTATTGTAAGGAAGAGTGGTGATAAGGACACTTCGGCCGTAAATAACGCAAATGTCAGACGAGAAAGCTATGCTCTAGGCTCTTTTTGTTTGGCAATATTGAGTTGCGGCAAATCCTCGGTGCAGTCAGCCTCGTCAGTGGCGATACAAAATGATCAAGACTCGGTTAGCAGTGAGACGAATGCCAATAACGAAATACAGGATGTGGACAATAAGCAGGAAACAGAGCAACGTATAGTTGTTGTGGCACAACGAACGAAAAAAACGCGACGTGCTAAAATTAAGGATTCTATAAAACAGGGAAAAATGCGAGTTAAAAAACAACAGCAACAACCAAAAAACGTTGATGAACCGAACGACGATAAAAAGAAGGCTTCTGTTGACTTAGCTGGCACAGACGAATTACTCCTCATGGTCGCCGAAAGTAAAGAATTAGAAAATTTCGAGAATTCAGCAAGCTTACGGAAACTTGCTGCCGAGTGCACAGAACCAATCGATTCAAACAATGACGATAACACTTCGCTGAAAATAACGCCGCCACAATCTTCAACAGGCGCCACATCCACTGCGGCTATGCCGTTACAGAAGAAACCCGCAGGCGTATATCAATTCATTGAGGAAAAACAGAAGATATCACTGTCAAAGGAAAGACGAGCTGCACGCACATTGGGTATTATTATGGGTGTGTTTGTTATTTGTTGGCTACCTTTTTTTCTGATGTACGTCATCCTGCCTTTCTGCGATTACTGCTGCCCAACAAACAAGTTAAAGAATTTCATTACATGGTTGGGCTACATAAATTCGGGTCTAAATCCAGTTATTTATACAATATTCAATTTGGACTATAGGCGTGCGTTCAAAAGACTTCTCGGATTTAATTAAAGGGATTCATAAATGTTAATACTACTGAATGTCGATATAGGTTTACTTATTTCAATGTTAGTAATAAGGTATATGAATGCACGAGTATATACATACATACTTACATATGTATTTCTATGTAGTTTCATAATTTCATAATTTGTATAACTTTGTATAATGAAATCAATAACTTATTTTATATACATACAATTTAATATTATAGTGAACCAACTGTTATCTTATTAAATATAATTTATGTACTCATTGTTAATAGATTGTATTAGAATTTTGAATAAATAATAGCATATACAAATATAGTACATATGTACATACAATGTATATATGTGAAAAAAGTCGGAGGAAGTTACAGTTTTAAAAACATTTTCATTGGCCATGTCGCAGCATAACTATGTGAATGTATCCTTAAATAACATTGTAATATTCTTGATAGCATTTGTTCTTTAAGACACAGTTCGCCTTATTCTCTAAACAGTGGAAACTTAGTTTTATATATAAATATCGATTTCTGTAAATTCATAGATCAAAATACTCGCATTTTGTATTTCTACTAAATGGCTTCAAACTAAATACCAATAACAAAAGCATATTAGTTTTTGTGAAATATAGACTGTAATTTTCAATCCACAAAGATTCATTTAATGCCTAAACTAACTAATTTGTTATAGAATATGATTTATAAGGGTTGGCCTGCAAACACATTAACTTAAATTATCTGAAAATAGTATGACACTTTGTATATTATATATGGAAAGTTACATAAATACAAAAGTTCTTAGCTTTAAAGCATATTTACCAAAGGAGTAAAATTATTTAATCAAAATTTAATCAAAAATGAATAGAATATTTAAAATATGAGATCAAGAAAGACCTGTTCTGACATTACTTATGAACGGTGTGTAATTATAGAGATTAAATAAGTTATTAATCCTTAAGCCACAATTCTCTTAACTTTAAATATTAGGGATGGAAGTTGTTAATCGATAGAAATCTTTGTTAAGTACTTGAGTTGTGAATAAAAAATGCGTGTGTATATAATTTTTATGATAAACCTTTCGTATTATTTAAATACAGTAGGTTTGACTTTTATATTTCAGGATTAAAGAATAAAAGTAAATATTAATAATCGAAAATCGCCTTATTGTTTTTCAAAATGTTCTCCATTAATGTCTACACACTTCTGTAGGCATTCGCCTCTTCCTGTGCTGAAAAGCGTTGATATCTTAGTCTATTAATGAGAAGTCATTCACTGCCAAGTCAGGACTATACGGTGGATGACTTATAAAATCGATGTTGTTTCAGTCAATGTGTGAAAGTTCGCATTGTCGTGGTGAAGATTGATCTTCGGCAACTGGCAACAAATGGTTGTTTATCGCCCAGAATTTACTCTTCTACGTCCAGTAGTTCGGTTGCGACATTTGCAGATTTTCCCAGAAAAGAGCCCACTATTTGCTAAGAAGTTCTTCGTTCAGGTTCAATGTAACATCATTTTCTCAGTTCAACTACATTTCTGGCTTAATGGCTTCGTAAACAAAAAAAATTGTCGCTAATGGTTTGAGTCAGATTCTCGTTCGGTTGTGGTATGACGACATCATCGAACCTTATTTCTTTCAAAATGAGGCAGAAAATGCTATTATCATCAATAGCGAGCGTCACGCTGTTAACGGACTTTTTCCCCGAAACTGGATGAAAACGACGACGACGATCTATATTTTTAACAACACGATGTGCCGCCTCATGTTTCACATGTAAACATGGACAAATCGCGCGCAATTTTGGACAATTCGTTATTTTCGGGATATAACCTCTATAGTATTTTCTCTCAAATGTTTACGTCAATCAACCTGCAACGTTCGGTGAACTCGAAGACAACATTCAGCGCACTATTGATGAAATTCTGCACTGGGTTGTCGAAAAGTTGCGTAAACGGGTAAAGATATGCAAACAGAGCTGTGATGACAGAACCCATTATGATCAAATTTGAGTGTTTTGTTTCACTTTACATCACGTCATTCTGCTTGCTAGACCCTTCAAATGGGGATTAAGGAAAGTATTGGCCCGATTCAGCACTTTTTAAAATAAAGGCATACTAATACCCAAAAAGTATTTTCTCCGAATTTCAATAATATATTCCACAGGTTGCAGATTCCTGGATACTTCAACAGTATTGGTGCGATTTTGGTAATTTTTAGATTTGAGGAATTATTCTTTTAAATGCATTATTTGTGCAAAGTTTTATTACTTATATGTATATATGTATGCATTTATGAATTCAGAGGTATGCGTTTTTACTGGTACGTTTTTTTTATTATAAAATTTAATTTTATGAATCAAAAGGCGTTTATAAAAAGGTAAGTACTTGAGTTTTATGTTGTTTCTAAGCAATTGATTAAATATCTTTGCAGATAGAACTTTTGATATCCTAAACATTGGATGTACAAATATAACAGGATGGATAAAAAGTTCATACGTTATCAAACTTTTTTTTTTTATTCAATATAGTTATCTTCGAGAGTTTCTACAATGATTATAGCAGTCAAAACAATTTTTATAATACATTTGCCCTAAGCCTCAAGAAACCTCAGTTTCTGCGATTACCTCTCCATTGTTGCTAAATTTCTATCCAACGAGCATTCTTTAGGAGTCTGAGTATAGGAAATAGTTACTAGGGCCTTGGTTTGTGACACGGTGCGTCTTATTGATGAAACAGCATTTTCTTGTTCTTCAAATGGAGACCGCTTTGCCGGGATTTTCCTCTTTAAACACTCCAATCGCAATGTAATAGTCGCAGTTAACGGTTTTTCCTTTTGAAAATAGTTCTTGAATATTATACCATGATTATTCCAAAATCTATTCCTTTGAAATATCTTTGGAAAAACTTCACTTTATAAACATCCGCAATTATTTTGGGGACTTCTTTTATATTTTTAATCGTTCCAGATCGCGTCATTCAAACTTTGCAAACCACTTTTCAACGGTTGATTACTTTGGTGCAGGTTTCAAATAATCTTGACCAATTCCAATCATGGCTTCAATAGTATATTTTCCACAAAAAATCAATGCTATGCTATTAACACATGCAGTTCCCTTTGACCCATTTTGTGTAAACTAACACAAGTGGCTTCGCTCAAATTGCTATTCATAAACAAAGGGATTGACTAAAAATCATATAGATTTCATATTAGTAGTACCATCTGTGTATCAGCCTTCGAACTTTTCTGCTCACCTATTATGTCCTTATTTTTCTAGATCTCACTTGATCATGATATCCTATTACAGCCGCTTACAGGTACTTATACTGAATATTTTTATTTTCTGATAACTGTGACTTTCAATTGATCGAATTGATTCCGGTGTTATATGGCCGGTTCAGAGCTTTGCCATTTATCCAGTGATATAGTCTTCCGATCGCTTTGAAGGAAGTTTTGGATGCAGTCGCCAAGGGACCAACAAAAAAATTATAGTTGATGTTAAATATTGTAACCCTCATTTTCATACCCTGAGCGGGGTTTATTAACAGTAACACCCAAAAAAAAAGTCATAGCATTGACTGATAAGTCCCTCAGTTTTTGTGATATCCCTCTGAAATTTTGCACACATCATTTTCACTCCAAATAGCTGGTCATTTCAGACAAACTCATTGAAATTGTATTGAAAATAAATACGGCTTGAATGAATATTTAGCATATTTTACATATAACTATTACTATAAATTATAAAATGTATAGCAATTAGTATTAACTATCTAACTAATTAAGTTTTTCAACAAAGAATAATTTAATGATATAAGTATGTGTACGTATAAAAATGTTTGTCACGAAAATGATTGTAATTTATATATGTATGTATGATAATAACGGCGGCTACGCTGGCTCGGTCATGTTGTCCGGATGGACGAAAACGCTCCAGCTCTGAAAGTATTCGACGCAGTACCCGCCGGTGGAAGCAGAGGAAGAGGAAGACCTCCACTCCGTTGGAAGGACCAAGTGGAGGAGGACCTGGCTTCACTTGGAATATCTAATTGGCGCCACGTAGCGAAAAGAAGAAACGACTGGCGCGCTGTTGTTAACTCGGCTATAATCGCGTAAGCGGTGTCTACGCCAATCAAGAAGAAGAAGATGTATGATAATATTTAAAAATAAATCTAATTAATTATTAAAATTTTGTACAAATATACAAAAATAGAAGTACGAGCATAACGTTTAACACGTAAGTTCCGAGTAAATAAATAAAATAAAAATAAAATTGGAACTTCAATTTTTCTTTGTTTATAGGGAAAACTCGTATTCTTGGCAGTGGTAACTAATAAAATGACGCAAAGCAAGTGACGAGGGAACCGATGCACCAGTTTTCTGTAACCTATAGGTAACCATAGCAATAACCAAAGAAACTTTTTTTAATAGCAACAGTTGGGATTGTCAACTGTGTCTTGAAAAAGCCATATAAACTTTAACGAAAAACTCTGGTACCGCTGCTAAGTAATTAACCAGGGATTCAACCGTTGACTTGCACGAAAATAGCCAATGCAATGACCATAGATCTTCCGCAAAACTTTCTCTCGAAAACTCGTCGACTTATCAGAAGTTGTCGTCCATGCCTATGCACCATGTAGAAGAACGGAAATGATTAGAGGCTTGTAGAGTTTGGTTTTTATTCGACGAAAGAGGACTTTACTTCTCTATTGCTTACTCAGTCCGAAGTAGTTATTCTTCGTTGGATTTCGAGACTTACGTTGTTATTGGTGTTAATCCTGGCTCCAAGATAGGCGAAATTATCCACGACTTCGAAGTTATAACTGTTAATAGTGACGTGGGAGCTAAGCTGCGAGTCCAAGAGGACATATTTGTTTGATGACAGGAGAAATTTCGTCTTGCCTTCTTCACTGTCACTTCCTTATCCAGTCTGGAGAAAACATATCTAACGGCGCGGGTGTTGAGGACAACGATATCAATGTCATCGGCGTGAGCGAACAACTATACACTCTTATAGAAGATAGTACGTGCTCGATTTATCTCTACAGCACGAATTATTTTCCCCACCAGTATATTGAAGAAGTCACTCGAAAGGGAGTCGCGTTGT